CTTTCTGTATCCACTGAGATGGCTCTATGATTTTTCTCTTTTATTGATACAGCAAATGATACTGATTAATTTCTCTATGTTAAACCAGCGTTGTATTTGTTGGGATAAACTTGGCTTTTTTCTATATGCTGGCTTTGTTAGCAGTTTCTTTAGAATTTTTCCATTTATGTTCATAAGTGAGATTTGCCTGTACTTTTTCTTTCTCATGGCATCTTTGTCGAGTTTTGTTATTGTAAGGTTTTATTTATTAGCTCAGTAAAATGAATTGGGGACCATTTCCTTTTTATTATTTTCTGTAGAAGAAATTGTGAATAATTGGAGTTTTTATTCTTTGAACTACCTCTCAAGAAGTTAACATTCCAGTGAGTGAGTTTGACAGTGAATAAGGTAAATAAGTAAAGTAAAATATATAATAAGATAGTGGGAAGTGCTAAGGAGGAGGAAAAAAAAAAAAAAGAGTGAAGGAGTTATGAAATGTTTGGGGAAAATGTTGAAATTTTAGATCAGTGGCCAGAGAGTGTCACTGAGAAGATGATTACCGGTGAAGAGCAGGTGGAAAAACATCCTGGGAACAGGGCAAACAACTATAAAACCCCTAAGGCTGGAGAAGCAGCAGTAGGTTATCAGGACTGGAGTAGAGAACCAGGGGGAGAGGAGGTGAGGTTGGAAGTTGGAGGGAGGGTTAGAGTCAGATCATTTAGGACTGTCAGGTCATAGTAAAGACTTTGGCTTTTATCCTGAGATGGGAGGCCACTAGAGAGTTTAAGCAAAGGAGTGGCATATTATCAACCTGTTAATAGTGTCACTCAGCTGGCTTGTTGAGTTAGGGCAAGGAGGAAGTCAGCTAGTTAGGAGACTATTACTATAATCCATACGAGAATGATGGTGGCCTGGACCAGGATGACAGCTGTGTGGGTGGTGAAATGTGGTCAGAGTCTGGATAAATTTTGTCTGAAGAGGTGATAGGAATTGCTGACAGATTTGATATACAGTGGGAAAGAAAGATATGAGTCAAAAATAGCTCCAGAGTTTTTTCCCTGAGCAACTAACTAGAAGAGTATAGATGTCAATCACTGAGATGAGGGAAGACATCCAGAAGAACCCCTACTCCCCTTCTGGAGGAAATATCAGGAGCTTGGTTTTTGATATGTTTTAGTTGAGATGCTTATGAGGTATATAAGTACAGATATGAAATACATAGTCTTTTTTGTTGATTTTTGTTTTTAATCGAATAGGTTGCCAACATTTATTAAAGTGGAATATTTCATATAAAAACTTGGATATTGTGCTTCTCTTGAGCAGTGATTAGATCTAGCCACCTGTGTGGCATGTTTCTGCAGGCAGGGCCAGCCCCATAGATGGGACACATGTTTCAGTTTGTCACCATCCACTCCTTCTCCCTCCTGGCATTGGTCATTCTCTGACTTAGAGGCACTCAAGTTTGCCATCCCTGGGCCAGAGTTTTCTCAGTACATCATACTGCCTAGTTTTTTGTTTCTTGGAAAGGTTGTGGTCTAGGGAATAAATAGGCCACTTTAGCATCTGTTTTGTTCCTCCACAAGTTCAGGCCTTTTGGGGTAAGGGAGATGTTTGGGGCTTTAGGCTTATCATAGGGGCAGTCACTGGCTGACCATCTGTCTGTGATTTCTTTCTTTTTCTTTTTCTCTTTTTTAATAGTCTTATATATTGGTCTGGAATAGAATAGGGAGAGGTCCAGTCTGGAGATAGAAATTTAGGAGTCATTCCATGGCCTGGAAGAGAATATCAGTATTGTGAGTATAGATGTAAAAGAGAAGAGGTACAAGGACTGAGCCATGAAATACAGAAATCAGGAGATGAGGAGTATCCATCAAAAGAGACTATGAGAAGGAGCAGCCAGAAATTTAGGAGAAAAACCAGACAAGCATGGTGCTCTGGAAGCAGAGGAGTTATCAGCAGTTACATGCTCCAGTGTAAGTGAAGTAAGTTAGGACTGATCAACAACCATTATGTTCAGCAACACTGTGGTCATTTTATCTTAAAATTCACAAGGAAAAATAAATACTTGAGAAAAGCCAAGAAAAATATGAAGAATTGTGACTGGGACTTATCTTACCAGAACATACCATTTATATGCTGTATAATTAAATCAATGTTGAATTGATATAGGAATGGACAGACTGTGATGGAAAACTCAATGTTATCTTAGTTTATATAAATATTTATTATATAATGAACATTTCTCTTCATGAGTGGAAGGATGGATTATTTAATAAATGGGGCTAGCCCAACTAGGTACCCATTTGGGAAGAAAAGAAAATAAATTCTGAAAAGATAAAGGACTTAAATATAAGAAATAAAACAATAATGCTCTTGCAAAAAAAAAGAGAGAGAGAGACTACATCTACAATGTGTATATATATTCAGTGGGTAAATATTGTACCTCATACTCTCAAAAATAGAAGAGAGCTCTTATAAATTGACAAAACAACAAAAATGTTAGTAGAAAAAAATTAGTAAGAGATGTGAACAAGCAGTTTACAGAAAGTAAATTAATTGACCAATAGACTTAAGAAAAATGCTTAAGTTTATTAGTAGTCAGGGAAATGAATCAATGAATATTGATTGTTGGCAGAAAAGCAAGTAAAAAAGAAAAACTTTTCTTGCTAACAGAGACATGAAGGAAAGAGGATTCTCATATCTAAGAGGTATGATTTCCCCCCCATATCACTAATGTGGTGGCACTGTGGTTTCTATTCAGGGAGAAACTTTTTATAATGAAAAATTTGTTTCATTTGCACTTGGGATACCATTGTGTGACTTAGCCACTTTGTGTCACGATGGCCTTAGACAACTCACATAAACTCTTGAAGCTTCATTTTACTCCTCGTAAAATAAAGATAACCATCCTAGGCTGACTACTTTTCTCTGAGATTGAGTATCAGGTAATGTTTATGCTAGGTCTTTGGAAATGATAGTGTGGTTCACAGAGTATTAGGACAGGCCATGTGCTTCTGAGTACCAGAGTTCAAGGACAAATTGCATAAATTTTCACAAGTATATGGAAAGAAAATATACTCTACGAATGTAAATTGTAGTAAAGAAGGGCCTTGTAAAGAAGGCTTGATTTCTTGGTTGCATTCGTCATTGGGTCCCAGTTTTGTTGGCGTAGAACAGTGCTGTTCAGGAGAACTTTCTGCAGTGATAATACTGTTCTGTTATCTTTCCAATACTTTCCGTATCTTTCCGATGTTTGTGTACTTTCCAATACTAGTCACATGTTGTTGAATACTTCGCATGTGTTAGTGCAACTGAGGAACAGAATTTTGAAATTTTATTTAATTTTAATTAATTTCACTTTCAATTAAAAAAAACTACATGTAGATATGTTAGGGCAGGAAACCTAGGCTACAGACACTTATTAAATTATAATTTGAGGCAGATTATATAACTGGATGCCAAATAAATGACAATCAGAAGTATGTGGGGTTTATATTTGCCGAGACTAAATGGATATTAAAATGTTGTTTGGTGAACCAAAGACCAGAATAAGGAAACTGTTAATAGAAGATATGCCATTTGAGGAAAGTATATATCCCAAGCAGAATGCAGCAGCTGAACAATCAGATTTCTCAGCCAAAAGTCCAGGCACGCTGGCCTGTGTGCTTTCCCAGATCAGCTTTTGCTTTGTCTTCTTCGAAGATTCCTTGCTGCCCGGCACATTGTTCCCTCTGCAGCCCTCTGGAGGTTGTAGGGAGCCCTGCCTCTGCTCATTTCTCTGTTGTTATTCTCTGCCATGGGCTTCAGTTTATTCTCCTATAAAATGGATCAAATACCTGTCTTTAAGGACCTTTCCTCTTCTAACATCCTAGAAGGAGCAAGCTTATTTTTCACGGACTGCGTCTCAGGAATGTTGCTTGTGTGGTGATTTAGCATCAAGATGAGAAAGGATTCTGTGGCCAGTGGTCTCACCCTGCACACGGGAATGTTTCTTACCAGCATCAATCAGTGGGTGGCCTTTTTGAGATCTGGGAGTCTTGGTCTGCCCTGACCTTTGCTTAGTAGAGCTGAGATATTTTCCAGTCGAGGATCCAGCATTCACCTTTGCGTATTTCCATTTATCTTATCAACAAGCCAAACCATTTTAAAGTTAGATGCCTTAAAAAACTAATTTGCAAGCTCACATTGTATTTTCTTTACATGGTTATTTTGTTTCTACTGTGCTTTGTGTAAGATAGTTGGAAACTGTCATTATTTAAGAAGAAAACAAAAAGAGTTTGCTATTTTTAATGTTATCAACATTCACTGATCTTCACCTCTATTAGAAAATCCACTTGTATGAATATTTTAGTAAGTAAACAATTAGATACATAGCAAACTGGAAAGCAGTAAAAAATATTTAAAATACAGTTGTACATTTACTCTTTGGAAAATACATCCAAAGCAGAAAGCCTGGTTCCTGTCATCACAGATTTTTGATTTGAAATTGTTCAGAAGAGTGGGGGGGGGGGCATAGTTAATGTCAGTTAGACTCTGTGATTTTCCCCTAGACAGTACTAAACATAAAATATAAATAAAAAATTGACAGTAATTTATAAGACAAGAACATATAGATTGGCTGGTGAACAGCCAACTAAAATTTGTTGACATAATGATTTTTATTTGGACATTTTAAATGGATTTTGGTAGGGAAAGATAATTTTGGAGGTGTGTAGTAAAAAGAACAACAGATTTTAAAAAAACACATGACACGTAAGAAGTACATTTTAGCTGGGACTCAGGTATGTGCAATAGAAAACTTGGGGAAATCTTAAGTTTCTGGGCCTATATATGTATGGTAACAAAGCTGTAATTTACCATTTTTGTTTGCAAAACAAAATATATCTTGGACTCATGCATCTAAACTAACAGATAATTTATATCCCTTAAATTTTACAAAGAGCAAAGACATTTATTTGATTGTTGATATATATTTTCCTGAAGTTTTATATGTTACATGTCCTTTTTTTTTCTTTTTTAAGAGTCCTGTGAAGATAAATCAGATTAGCCTGGATGAAAGTGGAGAACACATGGGCGTGTGTTCAGAGGATGGCAAGGTATGGCAAAGATGTGGTCATGCTGAAAGTTCTTTTCCTGTATTGAGTACTGTGATTTTAGCCAGCCCCAAGTGATTGGAAAAGCACTCTGCTTACTGTATACCTGCATTAAGACAACCTTGATTATTCTTTTTGAGTATTGGACTTGCTTCCGATTGGTCATAATTAAAGGAAAATATATTTTGCACAAATGTGCCTTAGGAAAAGTAATTACAAGAATGTCAATAATGTTACTAGTATTAAGCTGATTAACAGCTGTGGCAGGGTGACGTGTCACCTTAATCATTACTGCTGTGCCACTTATACTTCAGTGACTAGTCTGCAGTTCCTGCAAGACAGTAGTTTAATGCCTTTCTGCCATAAATCCACAAAATTGGATTTTGTGGGCATGATTTCTGTGGGCTGGTGGTTTTCATTTTCACACACAAGTTATGAATGTTTCTCTTGAATTATAGAATCTTTTGATAAGCAATCATAGTTTATCAGAAAAATAAAGTGTCTTACAATGGCCACATTAAATAAATGTAAAATCAATATATGTACAGTTTTCTAAAAACCTGGCACCTACTTCCTCGACTGAGGACATACATCATTTGAGCAGTGTATAACTAACAATTATCAGCGCTTCTTGCTGATGTTGAGCTGTGACATTTAGTGGTTGTGGTGATTGATTTTCCACTTATAAGAATGTCTTCTTTGTTTTTAAGTCAATGGAAGTCTTTTCTAATGTTGGTTTGGAACGATAAAATTCTAATGCACAGTGTATTTAAGCTACTTTTCTAAAATAACAGTTTAAGAAGAGAGTGCATTAAGAATCATTATAGATCCTTACATATTCTTTACTAAATAGAACAGATTTCCTAATCTAATTTTGTATTTTTTACATGTTCTAAATTTAGTGGGCCATTAAGATAGGTAAATTAAAAACAATATACTCAGTATAAAAGAGATATGCCCATTTAATCTGTTAACAAAAGCAACATGAAGTCCCCTTGACATATAAGAAGGCATTTTATATATCTAAGCCTAATGTTGCCCAAAGAGTCTTTTGAAAGAGTAATTGAACACTTGTGCTTTTTAAAAAGCATTGTCAGATTTTATGTTACTTGCTGAAATTCTGAGATTGTCATGATTGTCAGAGAGAGATGAGGGAGGAGCTGGTTTGTATAGGAATTGAGAAGAATTATTCACACTATTGGAACATTTTTGTGTGTGTATATTTGTAAAGAGAGATAATCTTCATTTTATTTTCTTAAAGGTGAGGAATTCTTTTGATGCTGATATCAATTTAATTGAACTAATTTGGTGAAAGAATATTTTTTAAATTGAAAATGAATTTTTATTAAGATACTTCATGTAGGAATTTTCAGAGCTTTACATGTTGAAGAAGTAGTATTTCATGCATCAAAGTGAATATTTTAAGTACTCTGGTGGATAATGAGATGACTCTCAGGTATCTCATGGTACCCTTGTCAAACACCTCTACTTTCCAATTTTAGTAAAATTTGTAATTGCCATATTTTGGCATAAACCCATTATGTATTTTGAAAAATGTTTTTCTCATATTTTTATTAACATTTATAGAATTGAAAATAAATCTTTCAGTGCATGTATTTATGTAACCTAGCTAGCCCTTAACATGGGTGAGTTAGTATAGTGAAAATTGAGAAGCTAGTGTAGAAGTGACCTGATAAAGTGGTTAGTGACAATAACAATATAAAGACATTCACACAAATAAATTCAAAATATCTAGATCTAATGAATGTTTAAATAGCCATTGCAATTTTTTCTTTCTTTCTTTAGTGTGTTCCTAGACAAATAATTATTTGGTTATTTTAAGGATAATAACCTTTGATATTTTACTTCAGTTTCAAAGTCATAATTCCAGCAGTTGTTTAAAATTTATTCTTTATTCAGCTGGTGCTCATTTCTAATCTTTTTTCCATGGCTTTTCTATGCTTGAGTTTTAAATTTTGAAATACATACATGTTTTGTGTGTATATGAGTGTTCAGTTTCAGTTTACTGTCATCTATTTTTAGGTAATTTTCAGGATAAGTACATACAAGGTTTATTTTCTCATCTCTTGCATATATTGCCTTAATACATAAACTAGACTCTAATTTTGTATAAAATCCTGGGTCGAAATCTTTTCTCAGGTTTGGAGATGTTGCTCCCTTTTTTCTGACATTTATTTTTGTAGGCATGTCTGAGGTCAGCCTATTTTTGGTCTTTTATAAAACCTCTTCAGTTTTTGTTTTTGTTCTGCCTTAGAGCTTGGACTAATAATAATAATTATAACAACATCAGCAATAATAAATGGTTCTTATAATTCAGTTTGCTAAGTTATGCCTTGTTCTGGTCTCTTTTCATTAATTTTGTCTGGAACACAGTAAGTCCTTTTGATCCATATACTGAAGTATTGTTTTCATTTCAGGAAAGTTTACTTCAGTTATAATTTTGATTATTGCTTCAGTTCCATTTGTTTTCATTTCTTCAAAGAAATTCAATAATATAAAGCTGGAGGCAGTATCGCTTAGAGGCTCTTCTAGCTGCCTGGCCTGGCATTCCCACTGTCTGTGTTAGGTGGGGGGACTTGCTTGGCCTGCCTACTTTTAGTGCCCTCCTATTCTCAGTGGGTGGGCTACTAACCATTCATTTCTTAACCCATTGCTGTCTGACCTGTTCCCCTCCCCCATTCTTGTACCTAAATTTTCAAGGTAAGAGGCTAATGAGCAATGAATAAGCACTATTCACCCTTCTTCTCCTTTTTAAAATAAATAGGCTGTAGGAAAAATTGGTCATATTATGTGATGCCACACATACATACTTTGCTTTCTCATTGTTTTTATCTTTTCATTTCTTTGTAGTCAGACAGAGATTCTTTACTTGTTTACTCCCTTTGCTGATTTGCTTTTCTTACAAAGTCAATGTTGTTTTTTACTGCTTTGTGAAGATTTTTGTTATATTTTACATTTAGAAATCTTTCTATCTCTTCTAGCTCTATTTTCATATCAGCCTGATATGTATTTACTTTTTATAAATTATAACTTATTATATGCCTTAGAGCAGGAGTCCCCAACCTCTGGTGAGTTGTATAATTATTTAATTATATATGACAATTTAATAATAATAGAAATAAATTGCACAATAAATGTAATGTGTTTGAATCATCCCGAAACCTTCCCCATCCCGGTACATGGAAAAATCCCTGGTGCCAAAAAGGTTGGGGACCGCTGCCTTAGAGTGTTAGGCAGTATGATCTAGTGCTTAGGAGTGGAATTTCCTGCCACTTTTTAGCTGTGTGATGTCCAGTAAGTTATTTCTGCTTCTCTGTGTGGCTCAGTCTCTGTCCTCCCCTGTAAAATAGGGATAATACCGGTACCTACCTACTTCATTGATAATTCAGAGGATTAAATGAGTTAATACGTGTAAATTATTTGGAATAGCACTGAGAACAGAAGAAACAGTAATTGCAAGCTATCATCATAATCATTATCATCATCCTGTTTTTCTTCTCCAGGGTCATAGAGGTCTCTTCATTTTACTGAGGTTACCAAGCAGTTTTCTAATTTTTCTTTGGGTTTTGGTTACTATTAAAATGTTTTTAGAGGCATGGTTTTCTCCCTCTGATTCTTTGGAATAGTATTCTGCAGTATTTTTTTAATAGACCTTGAATATTTTTTTGTTTGCTTGTTTATTTACTCTGAACAGGGAGAAGAGTGCTTTGTGTACCTGGGTTAACAGATTCAGTGTCTGACTTGCTTTGGCCCTGCTTGTTATTATTTTGGGTGTTGTAGAATCAGCTTCTTAGATCAACAGTATAGGCTCTAAAATGAGCTCGATTTTCTTTGACTAGAGGAATTCAGTGAGGGCAGCTCTCTGCTGTCATTGCTCCCTGGTCTCTGATATTCTATCTGGGTAGAGAATATAAAAACCAGCACCTCCTCTACTATGGTCCCTTTAGCTACCACCGGAGATGCAGTTCACACATCCATCCCTGTTCTGATTCTTGACTTGTTATTTGGAAGCTGGGGTTTGAGACAGGTTGTTTCAAGGTAAATACTAACTGGAAGGGTTATATAGCACTCTGGCCACCTCAATCATAGTTCCTCTATACCAGATGGGCTGTTGTCCAGTTTTCTGGTTGGCAAGTACATAGATTTCCATGCTAAAGTGGCAAAAGGTTGCACACCTTACTGTTTGATGAGGGTAGGTTTTCTTTATTTCAGGTAGTGTCACATACCTTCTGCGGTAATCATATGGCTCTCTGGGTTTGTAGTTAATGAGAACTCTTCCAAGACTTGGCAGGGATTAGCTATATGGCTAATTATTATGTAATTTTCTCTTTTTATTTTCATTAGTTATTTTGATGGCAAGTTTGGGGAAGATGTTTATAAGGGCTACAGGGGATTCCATGTGCAAAAGGATCCTATCTATTTTAATCTTTAATTATGTGATTCTTATCTCAGATAATATCTTCCTATAAGGCAAAACTCACTAGGCCATCGGTCCCCATACTTTTTGGCACCAGGGAATGCTTTCATGGAAGACAGTTTTTGCACAGACTGGCAGGGGGGTGTTGAGGGAGGCGGGAGAGATGTAGAGCTCAGGTAGTGATTGCGGCCCTGTTTCTTTAACAGGCCACAGATGGGGGTTGGGGACTGCAGCTATAGACTGTCATTTAAGGGATTCCTTTCACAGATGATTGTGATTTTCACTAACAAAATGGCAAAATAAGTAAGGGGAGGGGGGAAGTGTTTTGGATTTTATTAGCTTTAGTATTACATCATGTGACCAGCTAGTTTGGGATGTTCCAGTGGTGAAATGAACCAAAATATTGGAGGTTTTTCAAATCATCTTTATACTGATAATGATATCGTTTATGAGATTTATCTCATGAAGTTACTGTATTTTCCATACTGAAGTAGACTATGAGAACAGTTGAAGAAAACATTTGGTTAAACAGTGAAAGAAACTGACCTAAGAGTTCTTGCTTTGTCACCTTCAGCAGTTTCTCCTCCAGCCCCTACTTTGGGTCTTATAATGGCATTTTTAGCTTCCGATTAGTCCTCAAGGATAGTGATAAGTATTAGTGCCCGTTTTCAAAGAACTTGTTTGGTTTTGTTCTCTTTTGTTTGTTCTTATCACTATACTAATTTATCTTCAATATGAATTCATAATTTTTAAAGGAACATTTATCTTTGGCAATTCATAATTTAATCTTTACCATTAATTATATCCACAATCCTGGGATTTATCTACTCATTTACTGATATATCAGTCTTTTTCAACAGACTCATACATCATTTGTTTACTCCTCATATACTTTTCTTCACAACACACATCACTTTTTTCTGAAAAATCACCTTTACCCCATCTGTAAGATAGAAGGAAATATATCCATTTGAATGAAGAGGTCACTTCATTGAGTTTCAACTTCTGTCATAGCATTGCCTTAATTCAAAGTCTGATATTCACTTTCTTTTTAGCATGGCAGATATTTAAGGCTTTTGCATTTTTTTATTCTTGTTATTTTATTCTATTCTTCTTACACTTTATGTAAAAAGATATCTTTCTTATTTGTCATCTTCAATCCTATATTAAGATAACATGTAGAATAACAGAATTTGGAACACCAGAATTCTGGTCCCAACTATACTGGTTATGTTTTTTATGACCTTTGGCAACTCATTTATTTTTCTACAGAATCATCTGTTTCTTTTTGTTTTTGTTTTTGTTTTTGAGACAGAGTCCCACTTTGTTGCTCAGGCTAGAGTGAGTGCCGTGGTGTCAGCCTAGCTCACAGCAATCTCAATCTCCTGGGCTCAAGTGATCCTACTGCCTCAGCCTCCCGAGTAGCTGGGACTATAGCCATGTGCCACCATGCCCAGCTAATTTTTTGTATATATATATTTTTAGTTGGTCAATTAGTTTCTTTATATTTTTAGTAGAGGCGGGGTCTCGCTCAGGCTGGTGTCAAAGTCCTGACCTTGAGCGATCTACCCGCCTCAGCTTCCCAGAGTGCTAGGATTACAGGAGGATCATCTGTTAAATAGACAATATGTTGTTTGCTCTCATACCTAGCAGTGCAGGTGTAAAGACTAAATGAGGTGTAGAGTGTGACTTTCAATTCTGGCTACATGTTGTCAATTGTAGACCTTTAAAACTATCATTTCACTCTATCAGAAAGTTTGATTTCTCTGGACCAGAGTCTGGCCACTAGTATTCAAGGATTTTAACTATCCAGTCAGGTTTGAGAACCATTGGAGTAAAATATGTTGAAGCATTTAGAGATGTAAGTTGCTAGTAGTAGTATAAGATTTGACACAAGACCATGTTGTAAATGACATTGTACTAAAAATAAATAGATTATGTTATAAGAATTTTAGCTTGCCAATTCAGCAGGTATTCATATTACAGTAACTTCACTAAGGTTATCATTTGTTGATTCACTTCATTAATATTCATATGATATAGGACCTTCCTTACTTTCACCAGTTTTCTTGGATTTGTTGGGATCCATCAAGATAAATTTCCTGGGGGTAAAGTATAACCCTGAATGCAATGCTTTCCATTCCTGTTTGTTAACTACCATTTTATACAAAGCTCATTACATCCTATGCTTATACACTTATATAAAAGTAGAGACTTGGGGGAGAGGCCAAGATGGTAGACGAGTAACAGCCTGCACTTGCCACTCTCAAGGAGAGGATCAAAGGTTGTGGGTAGAGGTTCATCCATGCATGGACCGCCTTGGAGAGAGCATTGTGGATCATCAGAGAACTGACTAGAGACACCAGAGGTGGGGTGATCTGGTTGGCAGGATCAGAAAGTACCTGGGGGAAGTCCTCACCTGGGGAAGGGGGAGTAAGGGAGAGATCCCCAGGGCTCTGTACTCCTCCAGAAGACACTGAATTTGAGCTGCAAGGAGGCTCCCCCACAATAGCAGGCCTACACCGATCAGGGAGCTGCTTGGAGGCTGAAGCAGCATTGCACCGAAGAGTGGACACAGTGGGATCTGAGGTCACCGCAACAGATGCCAGCCTGCATTCCCAGCCCCAGAGTGCTTGGTCTGCAGAGGGGTTGGATCCACTGCAGTCGCCTCCCCATTACTCCTGCCAAATGAGAGAGGGAGTGGGGAGGGCAAGCACTCTAACATGTACTGCACCCGCTCAACTTTCCTCCCACGCCAGTCGCCTCCCAGAGATCCAAGCTGGGCAGGCACCCACCAGCTCAGCATCTGCTGCCACCATCTTGCCATCTCGATAGCACTGCCACTGCCACCTGAATAGCACTGCAGCAGCTGCCACAGTTGGACCTAGGCAAAGGGAAAGCTCCACCCACCAGGACAACCCAGCTCCATCAGCCACTGCAGCCCAAGGAAGCACCCCACCACCACCTGCATTCTCACAACCCACCCAGGTACCAGCCAAGGTGACCTGGCCAGGTGTCCACCAAGGTCCCATGACCCACACAGGCACCCACCAAGGTCCTGGGACTGACTCCACTGCCAGCTGTGGTCCTGCAATGGGTCTAGGTACACGCCAAGGACCCACAACCTCTACAGGAGCCACAATGTCTCATGACCTGCCCAGACGTTGGCCAAGACCCCACAACATGACCAAACACCCACCAAGGTCCTGTGAGCCACCCCACCACTGGCTGAAGTCCTCCAACACACCCAGGCATCCTCCAAGGAAATGCTACCCACTTGTGTGGAGAGTGACTTGCTTAGCTTTCTGTCCAAGCTTTCAACAGTGGCCTGGTGCCCAATCCACCAATCCGAACAAATATCCCCTAGCACCAGTTAACACTGTGAAAACTATAGGGGAATGAGAGGATGCAGGAGAACAGCTGAGTTAGTTACAGGCTCTCAGTGCCTCCACCCTTCTGCCACCAGGTCAGTGCTCTTAAATAGGACACAAAACTGCTATCCAGGGATTTCTCCTCCTTCTCACTTAGTAGGAGAGTTCCTAGCAAAGGATAACAGGTGCAGCACAGACCTATCTGGCCTGAGCTGAGAGAAGAGGTCTAGATGAGAAGAAATCAGCAAAATAATTCTGGCAACATGAAAAAACAAATATGTATATAAGTTCACCAAAAGATTTGTAAAGTGTGTTCATTTTAGCATTTTTCATAATAGCCCCAATCTGGAAACAACCCAATGTTGTTCCATCAATGGAAGGTGGATACATGAATTATGATATATTCATACACTGAAATACTATAGAGCAACAACAAAGGACCAACTACTTCTGTATGTAGCAGTGTGGATAAGGAAAACAACGAAAAGTTGAGAAATGTTGAATGAAATAAACTAGTGAAATAGTATATGATTCCATTTTTGTAACATTCAAACACTGGAACAACTTACCCATGGCGATACATTTCAGGATAGTGTTTGGTTTGGAGGTGTTATTTTACTGGGAAGGGACCTGAAGAAACAATTTGGCTTCTATTTCTTGATCAGGATAGTGGTTGCAGGGTTATATTCGTGTCACCAAAGTTTTTCAAGCTATAAACTCATGACTTATATTCTTTATAGTATGTATATTGTATTTCAGTTTTGTTTTTGTTGTTGATAAGTAAAGCAGTCAGAAAAAAATTAGAAATAAAGTAGCCTATATGAACTCTAAAAGAGGTACTGATAAGTAGGGACTTCAGTCTTTCACTTATAGACTCGGTAGATTCAGCATAAGATTGTAAATGAAGTGCAGTTCACCTAATCTCCTACCACATTGATCTACCTGGTTGATTTGTTTTATATATATATATATAAAATATTATATATATATATATTATATATGAAGAGTGACTCAAAAAGAAGCTCCCCTTTCCTGTAAGGGATGAAAAAATAGTTTTGTTAAGGATAGTCTGTGGCAAGTTCATAAAAGAGTATTATTAACATTTCATATCTATTTTGTTTTTAAAAGTTGGCATGCATTAATAAAATAAATTTGTGGTAAGTGAACTCTATCCATGGGAGGTTAATAAAAGCTTAATTGCAGCAAAGTACTCTCACCCTGATGGGATTGTTTTCATTTGGATATTTAATAGGGGTCATGGGGCTTTAGAATTATTAAATGTTTTTCTTTTTTTCTTGTTAATAGTATGTGTTCTCACTGACTCAGCAGCGTTCTCTGTTCCTGTCACAGTGAGCTGACACTATCCATTTACTTTTTAGGTGCAGGTATTTGGACTGTATTCTGGAGAAGAATTTCATGAGACTTTTGACTGTCCCATTAAAGTAAGTATTCAGAAAGTTTTAATTTTTAGGTGTTTTTTTTTTTTCTTAAGGCAATAAGGATTACAATAATTTGAGCACTATCAGTCCTGTATTAATTTAGTCAGTAAGTATCTATTCAACACTTACGATGTAATAGATACTATTTGGCTGCTACTAAGAAAGACAGGATGTATATTTTGTGACTGAGGTCTTCAGTGTGTCCCCAGGGGGCTTTTGTTATAGAGGATGAAATCTCACACACACACACACACACACACACACACACAATCTGTGGCTAAAAATTCAAAAAGGTAGAAACAATTTTAAGGAGTTCAAACCTAAGAAGAGTCACTGTTAGCTGTTCTTGTTAATGATGGCTTTGTTGATGGAGTGATGTCTGCCTTGGCTTTAATACATGGACAGGAGCTGATGGAGGAGCTGGCTTTCCATGTGGAAGGACAACATAATAGAAATGGAGAGGATAGAAAGTTCAAATTGTGTTCAGGAAGTGGCAAATAGTCTAGTTTACTTGGTGCATAAACGACTGATTTGGCAAGATCGGGGCTGATTTTATATTCAGGCTAAGGCATTCGGACTCTATCTGGTAAATTCGGACTCTATCTGGTAAATAAGGAGAAATTATTGAATGTTTAAGTATACAGAATGACATAAACTGAGCTAAGATTTAGGAAAATTAATATGGCAACTGTATACAGTATAGATTGAAGGGCAGATAGGCAAGAGTCAGTAGGACCAGTTTTAGATAGCAATTTTGGTAAGATGTCTCTTTTAGTTGTTATAGGAAGCTGACATTTATTTTGTTCACCTGTTAATTCAAACATTTATTGGCCAATAGGTAAAGGAGAGATAGGATCTGATGTGTCTTTTAGAAAACTGAATTTACCAGAATGGAGAGTGATTGGGACAGGAAACAATTTAGAAGGCTAATGCAATACTCTTGGCAGGGACAGGATCTCAAGAGTGATAGTGGAAGAAATTTGTCTGGACAACCTTTACTAGATAGACCGACTTACATTAGTGATGGCTTGGATGAGAGTAATGAAAGGTGCAAGAGGTGAGGGTCAGTCCAGTATCTCGTTTTGGGGATGGTGTGTGGGAATGCCACCAATTGCAGTAAAGGATGATTTCAATAAGGACAAGGCGAGTTTGGTCCTGAGTTTAGGTAACCGTAGTGTATGAGGTAGGGATGTTACAGAGGTTTTAGAAACATGAATATGGACCTCAGGATGGAGATTGGCCCTTAAACACAAAATTGACAACCACAGTTGCATAAGTTGAAGCCATTTTTAAAGATATTATCTAGTTTAAGACTACAGAGTGAGAAGAGAAGATGACTGATAGTGGTGATGTTCTGGAATACTCTAAAGACTTAGACTGTAGAAGATAAAAACAGTGAAGGAGTCTAAGAAGAAGCGTTTGGAGGAACTCAAGGAAATCCAGAAGAGTGGTGTCAGGGAAGAAAAGGGAGAGAGGGTTTCCAAGAGGGAATGGGCAGCAGTGGGAAAGGCAGTGTGGAGATTAAACGGGGGGAGGCCTGAAACAAGGGCATTTTATTTGGTAATTTTGAAGGTACTTGTGACCTTGGTAAGGACAGTTTCAAGAGGAGGAGGCTCACCATATTACCAAGAAGTAAATCATAGGCAAGGAAGTGAAGACTCTTCTTTCAAGACTTTTGGTAATAAATGAGAGATATCTGATAGAAAGGAGAAGTGTCCAGGGAAGATTTTTGCAAATGATTTGGTTGATGGTGAAAGTCAGAAGAGAGGAAAATAAAGAAAGGGAATACTGAATAGAGCAATGAGATCAACAGCTTAACCAGGGAGGATAATCTTGGAAAAGAGTCCTACACCCACTACCTGTGAGACAGGCACTGAAGTGATGAGGCTGAGCCCTACTCTCGGGAAGTCGGGTGGTGAAGGAGGAGCAGATGAGGGCAGTGACTCTGATGGCTTCATTTCTTACACCTGAAGGGTAGAAAGAGGTGAGGTAATATGATTAGGGAGCAGGGGAGACATATGAAATAACAGTCACTTATCTAGAGTTACACATTACAAGAGAGCTAAAAGGACTCTTGTGCGTGATGTTAAGAATGTGAAACAACAGAATGTTTAAATGCTTCAATATTGGTGTTTAGGATGGGTTAGGAAAATGTTGAAGGGAAGAAGGGTTAACCTGGGATGTGGGAATGAGTAGAGGAATGAAAGGTCATATGCTAAGCCCTAAAAATGACAGGTGTAGAAAGAGGAATCTTAATCTATTCCATTGGAAGAGGGAAATGTATTAAGTAATTAATAAGAATATAAAATGTATTTAATTGAAGGTTTATAAAAGTATAATTGTATGGGATGTTTGTGTGTGTGTGCCTAGAAATATTCTCTTTGTTAAATTAGAAAAAACTAATTTGTTATGTTGGTGATTTCATGGGTGGTTTTGGGATAAAAAGAGAAAGAGACATAGTACATGCAGGCCTTACAGCCACAGTGGATGAGCCCTGAAGACTGAGTTGCACTGAGTGGAGCCACTAGAACTTCACTATTGCCTTTGCTGTCACCTCCTCCCACCATGTCAATGATGTTATAAAATCATAAAGCCTCTGGAAAATGGGGTAAACAAGAAGGAGGGTAGTGGAGTGGCCTTAGGAGAAACCTCTGTAACAAGGGGCTGGGAGGACACTGGCTGAATACGAAATGGAAGAGAGCTGTGGGACAGGAACTTAGGTTGTGGGAAGAAGGGAAAGTCCTGAACAGTTTGCTCCATAGATCTTGGGTCCTGCAGCTCTGTTATCTCTCCACTGGAAGACTCTTGATATAACTTTGCTAAATGTCTGGGAGGCTGCGTTACCTCTTAGTGCCATCCATCATTGGGAGGTATCTTGGACAAGGAGTTCGTTGGGTTCTTTCTCTGGGTTTCTTCTATGAATTGTATTCAGTTACAGTGGAGAAATCTTTGTGCCTTGATTGACTTCTTTTGTTGCCTCTAGAAGAGGGGTTCTCTACTCAGAGGGGTCCTCACTCAGCCAGAAAGTGGAACTGATTTGTTCTAGTCTTTTAGCTTTGACCTGGCTTCAGAGATGAAATTTTTTTACACAAGAGCAAAACTTAGATGTCATCAGTGGTTGCAGAATATTACCTGAGTATATTACTTCCTGCCAAGGTATCAGGATAATTTTTAGATCCTACTACTTATAACGTATAAAGGGTTTTAATTCTGTGCTTAATTGTGACTCCTAAACTATCATTGGGTCCTTCTTTTGTAGATCATTGCTGTACACCCACATTTTGTGAGATCCAGTTGCAAGCAGTTTGTGACTGGAGGGAAGAAGGTAAGTGCTCTGTGGCTGTACCTTAACATGTAGCCTTTGAAGGGTGTTGTGTTTGCTCTATAATTTATCCTTAATATTTTAAATGTCTATTTGTTAGGAGAATTTGAGAAAGACAAATGTAATGAAATCATAAGACCATCATCTCTTGGGAGAGTTGTGGCCTCCGTGTTTCTTACTACATTCCTTTGAAGTAGATCTAGGTGACAAAAAGATGTTACTCAAACTACCATCTGGTGCTTTGAAATATTGTCCCTTCCACAAAAAAAGAGGCAGCATTTAAAAATGACACAAGAGCGATTAAACTAATGATTTTACCTCCTTGCGGAAAATGCCTTGATGAACTTTTTAGAGCAATTTTATCTCAGCGCTATTTTAAAAAAAAGAGTGAAACCTTTCTGTACATTTGTTTACAGATACAGTATATCCACAAATCAAAGAATCTTTCTGCTTATAGAATAAGTCAAGCCAATTTTTTTTCTATTTTTATTAGCCAGAGGTATTTTTTTAAGCTACTATTACTATACTGGACCTTTGAATATTATTTTATATTCATTTTAAAGCTAGTGAAAAGTAGGTAGTCTCTGGTTATTTCTATAAAAGTATAGAGATATGGAGTGGCTACTTTGAGGCCCAGCTACGGAATGGCTTCAAATGTTCTATGATAGTTGTCTGTTGTTTTCTCTTGGTCTCATAGTTCATAGACTGAAAGGAGGAGAGCATCTGGTCATTACCTCACTTGTAATGGTTGCTTCATTTCATGGCATGAAGCCAAGATTGTACCAGTTCTGACTGCTGCTAGAGAGCCCCACCTTCTCCCACCTCACAGCCCACTGTTACTTGAGGCACTAGTCTCATTTACTTTGTGTAAAAATGTCTACAGAACTAAATAATGGGAATTACAGACTTAATCTCACATTCCCTAGCTTAGATCTTCAGCTCATCCACTCCTAAAAAAATAACTACTTTACTTGATTTGGTCAGCCTCAGGAAAGAATAGCTTTAAAATTCTATTCATATTTCTTTACTGAACACTTTTCTGGCTAGGAAATTTTGTGTTCAATGTAGCATAAATTCACTTAGCTGTGATTTGAACCCATGTGTTTTTATTTAAAACTCAGTGGGGTAAAGAATGGGTCACTGCTTTTTTCTTTTTCTTTTTCTTTTTTCTTTTTTTTTTGGTGTTAATGGCTTAAGACAACAAATATTTTTTATCTCATAGTTTGAAAATTTAAGAGTGCTTTAGCTGAAGGTCGTCAGGAGGGTGCAATCAAAATATTGGCTGGCAAGTCCAAAAGCTGCTGCCATCTTCTGCTCCCAGTGAACTGGGAACTTCTTGAGGACAAATCACAAGGCTGCCAGGCCCCTTGGGGTACTTCCTATCACCACAGACCTGAGCCAAGAAAACTGGCGCCCTATTGATTCTCCACCTACCATGCACCTTTGTCTTCCCCATGAGGCTTCAGCCCCTCAGTTTTCATGTTGCTCATTCCCACACAAATATTTCCAAACTGCTGCCCAGTCAGCGGGAGCCACAGGTGGCTGGTGGGTCGTGGGGGACATATGTGACCTCAGAGTCTGGACATTGCCAGTGGGCTACTCTGGAGACAGGAACAGAGACAACCAGAGTTCTGGCTTTCCTCCAGACTCTTTTCCTTCCCTGCCTCTCCCCTACCCATGGCTGCCCAAAGAGAGACTTCTGCTGAGGCTCTCTGGATTTGCTGCTTCCCCTTTGTTAGGGCTTCCATGGAGAATGGGGCCCAAACCTTTATTCATAAAGACCTGCAGAGAACTAAGGGATGCATGGTCTGTGAGCTCCCTACTCACCAGCCCTCCCTGGTACTGCCTGCCCATCTGCTCCATGAGAATAGGGCACAGCCCAAAGTGGAGGAATATAAACCTACTTGAGCACCCCACAGGCAATTTGGGATCAGCATGCTTCTCCCTGGTATGGTTAGGGATTGATTTGGGGGGACGTGGGGATAGGCCCACAGGTCAGATCCTATGCCCCTAGGACTTGACCGAGTTGCTTGGGGGCACAGAGGGGAGATTTGTGAACTAATGTTGGGAGGTGAGGGAGCCTGCGCGGGCAGAACTGATGAGAGAGTTCAGTGTGGGTCCCAACCACAGTGCACTTGCAGAGTACCCCTCCCCACAAAGGAACACCGTGCTCTCAGCCTAGGACAGTATCCTGGACAGGGAAGCCCTCAGCCTGCAGGATCATTTATGGAGAGCTCAGCTAGTTTGAGCTCCTGCCCCAGGAGATACCAGACAGAGATGGCAGAGAGGGGTGGGAGAGAGGAGAAGAGTGAAATCCTCTCTAAACATTCAGATTGTGGCTCTTACACATCCCCTGCCTCCACAAGCAGACTTTTTGACTAGGTGGGGCCACCTCAGTCCCTCCATAGTAACTTTCCTCAGAAGCCTATGAGTAGACCTTTGACCCCTACTGAAGCAGCTACCTTACCAGATTTTATGGAGCCTAAGGGCAGACTCACCCAACCCCGCCCTGCCCAGCCTCACTCCCCCACCCAACTCTGCTATGGTGGAGAATATAGACTCTCCTGGAAGTTCTAGGACCCCACACACCACCTGGGGCATTCGAGTGCTTCTCCTGAGGGACTAGAGCTGGTCACCAGTCCCAAAACAATACTGCAGCTTGTTCCTTATGGCAAGTACTACCTACTGACAGGGAGGTAAATTTGCATAACCCTTTGCGTCATATACTGACTCAGTCATATAGGGTGTGGTTGATTCTTACCCACAAACACCACCTACTGTCTGTGTCTCTTAAGTTCAGCAATTATAGCATCAACAGCTGACATCACATTGATTTCCACTGATTAACACCTTTGCTAATCTTCTCAAAGCCTTCCTTGCTAAAAGAGGTAATCATGGTTGTACCACCCCTGGCCTTTTTGTTTATGTTATTAGTAACATCTTGAACAAATTTGGCTCCAATAATTTTATATTGATCCTTGAAGTCAATTGACTTTGCAACAGTCATACCATTTTTCATACTTTGGGACCTTCCCAACCCTGTTCAGTAATCACTGATCTTCCCTTTGGCCCCATTGTAACGGCTACAGCATTGGCTAAAAGGTCTACACCATGAAGCATTAAGGCTCAGGCATCTGTACCAAATTTTACATCTTTGGCATAAACCTGAGGGAGATGAGGAACCAGCACCCTGGACACCGATCTCATCTGATGAAGGACTGTGTGTAATCAAAGCATTTCTGTGGGGCAGCGGCAGGGCTTCCACGTGGCAAGGCAGGTCATCTGTCAAGTGAAGGCTAATGTAATTTATTGAATACTGGACAGAAAGTGAAAAACAGAATAGTTGTATGGGTACCATCATAAAGCTGAAAAATTACAAGTTGAATCATCGTAAGTCTGGGACCGTCTGTATTCGTAAAACATTTTGACTTTGGTCTCTTTCTCTTTAAAAAGCCATTATAAATTTCTCCTACTTATGTTAGAGGCTTTAGAAACATGTAAATGTGTGCTCTATTTAAGAACTTGTACAAACTATTGACTGATTTCTTTGGATCCATTAAAATTTTTATGTACTCTGTTTTTAGTGAGTAGTAAAAATGAGTGTACATTTGATGAACTATAATGACTTCTCTGCATATAGCAAAATAGAGATTTTCAAAATATATGCCAGCTTGGTGTGTGGTATGCACCAATCTCCAGAGAATTTCTTTCTTTATGTGTACAGTATGCGCTTTTTAAAGATTACTTACGCTGCATGGTTTTGATATTAGTGCGTTTTGTTTGTTTTGAAATAGATTTATTCCGTTGATATTTCAGGAAATGTTTTTCTAATTTCATTCATAAATATATCTTGGATTTTAAAAACTAAAAAGCTTTTAGAAGGTGACATTAAAAAAGGGAGACTATTGTGAAATGATTACTTTCATTTTGAAAAAAGTGTTAGCAAATTTTTAGGAGGATCTGTTCTTTTTATAACTGAGTTATGGGAGTTTATATCTTTGAAAAATGAGAAAAACACAGACTATGTTGGCCCAATAGCTACTCTAATCATTTCAACTGCAATTTTAAACTAGCGCCATAAGCTAAACAGAACAAGTTTGGAGAGCCCAATATTTGGCAAATGGTGATAACCTTGCAATAATCATATGTCATAGATATCTAGATCTCTCTGTTTTAGAGCTGATGGCAGATCATATAGGAGGAAAAGAGTAAAGACAAACATCAGATAACTGAGAGGTTGACCTTCTGCCTTTAAGAGATAATTTAATCTTTTAAAAAATAGGAGCAAAGACTAGCCATATGAAGGTGTAATGTGGATGAAGGCATTCTTAACCCTTAAGAACACTGATCTCTAGATTGACAGCTAAATAAATCATTGACATTATATACCAACTTTTGTAAACAAGGGGTTAAAATGGCACAGGGACTAGAGGAGCTAAATAAGAAAATGGAAGTCCCACAATGAGATATTCATGATGTCATAAGAATATTTGAGAGCTGTCTAATTTAATATTTTAGTTGTTTATGTTATTAAAATTTTTTCATTCTTGTAAAAAATTTTAAAGTATTTGAAACATATATGTCAAAATAGTGCTGCAAAACATAGCAATGGAGCAGAAAAAAAAACTGGAAGTATAGTTTGACACATTTGTTGGTATTTCCTCTTTAAGGTTCTAGCTTCTTTGGTCTTTAGAGGTAGTTCCTTATTCACCTGGGACTAGGAATAGGAAGCTGTAGTCTGTTTGGTATAAACTTTTATTTTAGGTTTTCAAGGCAACTTCTTAGTAGTTGAATGCCATAGCTGGATTTATGGACTCCACTGCTTGACACATGAGCATAAAAAGCTTATTCTAAATTCTGTTTTGTTTCCATGTTGAAAAAAGGAAAGAAAAAGCACATCTCTTGAAAGTGCCATTGGAGAGAGCTTTCAAACACCCAAACCAATGGATTGTTTTAAAGTGTAACTTTCTCGCATAGCAAGAATTACATGAGCATAGTAAATG